CTATAAACTTAAAAACACCTAAAACTAATTCAAACTGCAAACAAACTAAATTAAATTCAAATAAAAAATAAATAGACTCAACCGGACAACAACATAGCAGCTTTGGTGGCATGCTTATCTGGAACAGTTCCAACACAAACCAAGGAATGCACTCAGGAACTCCAATCAGTTCTGCGCAGAAGGCAAGGAGCTAAAATCACACAAGAGGTTAAGAAATACTTAGCCTCTAGGAAGGCAATGAAGAAGACCTTAAACAATTTGAAGAAGAAAGAAAACAATTGCAATGAAACTAGATCAATAGTTAACATCCTCCAAGATGCAAGATGCAAGAGCAATCACTCTCAATGTCATGGAATCCTTGTTGCTCTTTGTATTTGCACCACAGACAGGATCAAAAACATGCCGTTGGTTAGCAGTTTCAAAGCTATGGCAGAAGAAAAGAATAGCATGTGAAGGAGAAGAGAATGAAAATGAGATCACCAATGCTGAAGCTACACTGCTCTCCATCATCGGAGGCAAGACAAGTATTGGAATTGAGAATGCACAAATTGAACTCCAAAAGGCAGGGTCAAGCATTCAAGATCTTGAAGAAGGGCTTGAAATCATCTTCAAGCAGTTGATTAAAGCTAGAGCCACCATTCTTAACATCCTCAACCATTAGAACAAAACTATACTTGTATATGATTCTTCATACATGTATTTGAATACACAAAAAGATACTTCATAAGAGAAAAAAATTACTTTCTCCAAAAAAATTTTGTTTCCATTACTGCTTTATGTCTTTTCTTTCATTTTTTTTCATTTTCTTTCTTTTCTTATGAATTGAAACATTTTTATCCAAGTTAAATTTTAACCACATGTTACAGTTTGAGCAATAAACCCCAATTTCTATTCCAATTCATTAGAACAATCTTTTTCTAAGGGGATAATTAATATTTTGTATTTTTCATGAATATCTAAGCTGTGAAGATTCCCATTGTCTCATTGAATACAATTCATTTGATAAACAATGAATGGCATTCACATGGTAGAATCAAATCTCACATGGTTTAAGCAAATAAAAATGATCCTTATGTCTATATGTTAGGAGAACGTCACACTACTCAACTGCTAGCCAGAAGCAAGAATGGGGATCTTGCCTACCTATTGCAGAACAATCAACGCGATTGATTATTCAGTCAACTTGGGTTAGCATATATAATGGTATTTCCCTCTATTGCACATATTCAAATGATATTCAAATGAAGAACTTAGAATCATATGAACAAATTAACATAGCTAACTCTACTTGTATGGGCACAAATAATTTGCTTCAGTTTTCTGAAATGATCAAAATGTAATAACCACGTGTCAACATAATATGGAACGGATAAGTTAAGCATTTTAGATCCATTTGGATGATCTACAAGAAGATAAAAATAATGGAAAAGGTAAGGTTTACCAGATGATGAGAATTAATTGACTGTATAAATAATTTGTTTTTTGGTCTAAGGAAGGGAGGTGCCAAACACAGAGGGAAACTTTATTTCCGTCGTAGTTCCTTCCTGCAGACATAAGATGTAAAACTTTGCTAACTCCACTCGTGAAAGCAAATATTATAGCAGGTTAAATGAGACAAAGATTTCGGGGAGAGAAGACATTGCATAAGCATGACTAAGTTAGTTTATAGATCCAATCATAAATACCAGGTTACCACTATTTGAATATGCTGATGTCTCCTTTGCCATTTAGTATTTATAAAAAAGAGGCACTTATGGAAGGCAATTTAACAAAAAGAGATTAATTTTAAGAAATTGTTGGATCTTACTAAATTTTAATGCATTAGGAAAGAAGAAGAGATGTCAAAAATGTGGATCCTGCCTGCCTCTTGCACAACATAACAAAACTAAGATCAATTATTGTGATATGAAGCTGCTATGCTGGTTGAACCCATAACAGAGAGAAAAAAACAGTAGGTAGTGCAATTATCTCTACATGAAAATGTGCTCAAATTTTCTTTTCATGAAAGGGAAATAGAAAAAGGGGTCAGGTCCTCCAAAATGTCCAACACGTGCTGCATATTATATGCTGTCATTAATGATTCTTTGGGATCTCAGTACCAGAAAATAATTAGCCAATGAGCTACTGCCCTGGTTGAGAGGAGACATGCATATACATCATTAATGCATATTAAAAAGGGATTCCTCATATCTCCACACCTTGTAATATATGTAGAGCAAATGCCAGGGGGAAAGATAACAAACCAAGTTGAATACAGAATTCTTCAAGGCCTTTCTTCATACTCCAACTCCAAAGGAAAAATGGCTCACCATGCTCACTCAAACAGCTTTCCTTCTAGATTACACTCTGAAACTTTTGAGGTCAATGAGCATTTGAGCAGATTGGCATCATCTGAATCTGCCTCTACTCCTCATTCTTCTTGTGCAAAAAGCTCAATGGCCTTCAGGATTTACACGATGGTATTGAGAGGTTGCTCCTAATGCCCCTCAACCAACAAGCTTTAACGCGTGAGCAGCAAAGGAAATATGTTTATGAGATGCTGAATGGATCTATTAGGCTCTTTGATGTCTGCACTGCTGCCAAGGAAGCCTTGTTGCAAGCAAGGAATGCACTCAAGAACTTCAATCAGTTCTGCGAAGAAGGCGAGGAGCTGAAATCACACAAGAGGTTAAGAAGTACTTAGCCTCTAGGAAGGCAGTGAAGAAGGCAGTCTTGAAGGCCTTAAAAATTTGAAGAATAAAGAAAACAAATGCAATGAAAGTGGAGCAATAATTGACGTCCTCCAAGAAGCACAAGTGGTCACTCTCAGTGCGATGGAATCCTTGTTGCTCTTTGTATCTGGACCAGAGACACAATCAAAAATGGGCCGTTGGTCAGTGGTTTTAAAGATACTGCACAACAAAAGAATAAGGTGCGAAGAAGGAGAAGGACATGAAAATGAGATTGGCAATGCTGGAGCTACATTACTGTACATCATTAGTGGCAAGACTAACATTCAAATTGAGAATGCACAAAATGAACTGCAAATAGCAGAATCATGCATTCAAGATCTTGAAGAAGGGCTTGAATCCATCAACAGGAGGTTGATTAAATCCAGAGCCACCATCCACAACATCCTACACCATTAGATCAAAGATCGTAACACCCCAATATACTTGTATATGATTCATTACACATGTATTTGAAAACACAAAAAAGAATACTTATGATAAACAAAAATATACTTTTCTCCAAAACTTTGTTTCCATTACAGCTTCATATGCTTTCTCCTTTTTCTGTTACCCTTTTCTCTCTCCTTGATTAAAACATTTCTAATCCAAATTAAATTTTGACTGTCTGTCACGGTTAGAGCATTGAATTCAATTCTTTGTAATTAATTTTGAATAGATGCATACATGTGTTTCTGGTGAATATCTAAGCTGTCAAGATTCCCGTTGTCTCAAATATAATTTATCTGATAAACAAATAAATGAAATTCACATGGTAGACTCCAATCTCACACGGTTTATGCAAATAAACATCTGCCTCATGTCTTTCCATTAATAGAACATAACCTTATTCCTCGCCACTGAACGCTATTTTGTAACATTTTGTTGAGACGGCAGAACCAAGAATGAGGATCTTTTGTTCCTCTTGTACAACAACTCTTTCAGAAACTACTTTACCGGTTGGATTGGTTAATCAGTCAAAACATTAGCATACATAGTTGTATAGTGTACAAAATTGTCCTATATAATTTGCTCCATCCACCATAAATTGCGACTCCCTCATCTACTAACAACTTGCACTTGAACTTTTAAACATTCATTCCAGGCATTTAAGACTTGGTCAACAGGTTTAATTATGACAGTTTGTAATACGACAACCAGTTTTTTTTCTTTGAAAGCTGTTCAATAAAACCATGATACGTGAATTGAAATTTAAAATTTCAAGGAATTACAATGAAACCACGCCAGCAATGCAAATATATCATGTCTCTAGAACAATAATCATTTGAGGAATTTCACGCTCGATGATTAATGAGTCCCACATGGGACTTCATTTACAATGATGATTAGATTACTGAAATAGAGTAAAGGACCCCTACATGCAGATTTGGGACAACAAAATAAATTTGTGTTCTCATTGTTCTTAATTAGAGGAAACAGGATACATCAAGACCATTTGTGCATCACAAATGGTATGATGTTGCATTATTTCACAGAATCTCAACAATCTTTACAATTTAAAATGGTTTTGGCTGAGTTGGAGACCCTCGTGGAGGGCAGACATTGCCAAAACATCACAGATATTTGTGTTTAGATCCAAATCCGAGTCAAGTTAGCATTAGTTGATGGCTGGTATACATACATGCATCAGAAGAAGAGAGGTGATCAACAGCAAAATTATAGACTGAATTTGCAGGCTTTGAACTACCACGCCTCTTTTCTTAGGAAGCAAAAATGGCTTCCCAACCTTGCTAGCATGTTTGCTCCAACAGCCTTCCTTCTAGACCACACCCCCTTGCTTCAGACATTGTTGAACATCTCGGCAGGGAATCACCAATCAGCCATATACTGAATGGCCTTCAAGATTTGCATGATTGCGTTGATAATTTTCTTCAGCTGCCCCACCCCCAAGAAACTTTAGCCCAACAGAAAAACAGGAAATGGGTTGACGAGTTGTTGGATGGATCTCTTCAGCTCTTAGACCTCTGCAGCTCTGCTAAGGATTTTGTGCTGCAAGCAAAAGAAAGCTCAAGTGCATTTCAATCAGTTTTGTGTAGAACACAGGGTGGTGAAGCAGATATTGCAGCTGAGGTAAAGAAATGCTTGGCCTCCAGGAAAGCTGTGAAAAAGGCCATAAACAAAGCCTTGGCTAAATTGAAGACCATGCGAGCTGAGTGCACCTTCTCTCCTTCAGATGACAACAAGACCAAGGCTATAGTTGGAATGTTAAAACAAGTTGAATTAGTCACCCTTTCTGTATTTGAATCATTCTTGTCCCTGATCTGTGGAACAAAGGATCTGTCCAAGGCCAAGAGCCGTTCCTTGATTTCCAAGCTGATGAATCCCAAAAGAATTGCATGTGAGGAAGAAAAGATGAACAGTTCTGAATTCGAAAAGGTGGATTCTGCTCTCAAGATGAGCAAATCTGAAAATGTATCAAATATGGAGATGCAAAGCCAACTACGGGACTTGGAGTCATGCATTAAAGATCTCGAAGAAGGGCTCTACTGCCTATCTAGGCATTTGATCAAATCAAGGGTTTCTCTTCTTAACACCCTCAACCATTAGATGAAAAATTGATCAGAGTTTTGTTTACTTTGTGTATGATTGAAATATACATGTATTTCAACACAAATTATACACAATGTTCAACAGATTATTACTTTTAGATTTCGTCTTTCCATTTTCAAGATCACTAATTCCTTTTAAGCCATATTTTTCCTTGTTATTTATTTTTTGGATAAATATAGAAATATTATTAGAAATAAAAATAGGAGTACATCTTGGGGATCGAGCAAAACAGACCCCATATGCATCAGCACAACAAAAGAAAGCAACAGAGAGGGGGCAATTTTCAAACATACAAAAACTGGAGGAAGCCAAAGAGCTGCTCATCTTAGCAAAGCAATCAGCCGTCGTGTTGCTCTCCCTGACAGTGGGTAGACCCTGGGATGTATATCGAACTGACATAGTAGAGCTTAACAAAACATGACCACTACATGGTATCTGATTCTGAATTTCTTCCAAGTTCATCTTCAGAATCGACCTTATCATATACCCATTCTCACCCCTATCTCATGGGTTGACATCAAAGTTATAAACAAGAGACTATATTTCCGTGAAAAGATTAAAAGAAGATGTTTTTTTAGGAAAAAGAAATATACTTAAAAAAGGCCTCTCTACAATATCAGAGTCTAAATTAAAGTGAGCTTGGTGGTAATCAAGTAACTAGAAGTTCAAAATGTTTGCATAAGGCGTCAAATTCTGAAGCCAAGGGCTGTTTAGCTGGGTCCAGAATGGATCCTGGGTCCAATCCATGGCCATTTTGGGTAGTTGAAGCTCTGGCAATTTCTCCTTCCCTAAGGGCAATTGGACGGATGCTGAAGAACCATTGTTGTTCTCCCTCACAACTTCCACCATCGGACTTTCCTCCACTTCCTTCTTCAAGAGTACTTGGGGTACAGAAAATGATGCTGAGAATTCATTCCGTGGGCTGCAAAATGAGATTGTTTCTATTGATGATGGGGGAGAAGACGGGGATGGGTGCATTTCCTTCATCTCTTCTTCCATTGCAGCCCTCTGCTCCAGGACTTTGAGGGATGTTGCCTTCCTATATATCTTGCACAGAACTATATCCTGCATTTCACATTGAATCATAAAACTTGCATTCAGAATTGGGACAAAGTCTCAAGAGAATCAATTTTTTTCAGGAATTTGAGTTCTCTCAATCAACATTGGCACAAAAGTACCTTAGGCAGGTGGCTGCCATCAGGGAGGCGATACTCGTTCATGACCCAATCAGTCTTGGTTCCTCTTGGAGCTCTGCCCTTGTAGAAAACAAGGGTCTTTTTCAGGCCAATTATGCGTTTAGGATCAGATAAGCTGAAGATTTTCCTATCAGAACCAGTGGCTTTCCAGAACCCATTTTCTGTTGTCCTGTTAGGCCTCCCTCCACTGCCATGCTTCCTGTCCCTAGGCACAAAAAAGTACCATTCCCTCTCCCCAATCTTGGACAACCCTATACAAAACAACCATTCACAAACATTAATCATCTTCAACATGAAATCATGAGACCAGAATTCATACTCTCTGCATTAAACAAGCTAATTACTGAAGTCACACATGCATGTGTGATGAGTTTACCAGGCAAATCCCAGGGATCATGGTGATAGATGTTGAGGAATCCAATCACATCCAACCGCAGCTTCTTCCCAAAAATCATGTTCTTCAAGTAGAAATCAAGAAGCTCCTCCTCTGTTGGGTGGAACCTGAACCCTGGAAGATCAAGTTCTGGTGTCACCTCCTCCATTGAAATTGGCAACTAAGTATGATGGTCACTGACTAGAGGTATTTTTCAGGATTTTCTTTCTGCTTGGTTTTTAGGTTCGATATGCTTTGCTGCAACGAAGCACCCGTGTTGTTGTTGATATATAGGCAAAGACATGGGACATTAAGGTTGGTTGAATTGATACTTGTAACAGCAATAAATTTAAGGGCAGAAGACCAAGTCTCCTTGGTGTGGGACCATGAACATGGGGTACTTCCAATTGTGGGGGACAAATGGGTAGCGTGGTCTTTGCATTGTGGAACCCACACGCTTAGGACTGCTGTGGTAAGGTGGGGATATTGTACAATGACCCTCTTGCTTGACCCTCTTTAGTTTAGAGTCTCTTCTTCTGATTTTGGATTATTACTTGGAAATTCTAGAGGGAAAGGTGTTTTTATTTATTTTTTTTCCAAGTAAATGGAGTTCTTTTTCTTTTTCTTGTTTCTACCATGATGATTTTTGAACAAATGAGATGTACTAGATTGGTTGCGGCTTCAAGATTCAAACAAGTATGGGTCAGCTGAGAAAAAAAGTATGGCTGGTCTTCTTTCTCATTCCAATCTCTGATGTTAGCTCTTTTGAATTGGTCATATGTTTTTTTTTTTCGTTAAACGGTGCGAATTTTTTTTAATATTTTATAGTTAAAGCGTACTAAAACTAATTTTCATGTATCTTATAACCAATTCTTTCTTAATAGAGGTCGTAAAATCATACTTAATCGGTTAATTTGATCCAAATCTAACACATAAAAAATAAATTAAAGTCAAGTAATATTAAACTCGTAACTTATTCGAATAAACTCAAACATGTCACGAGTCAATTTGCATATTCATGAGTTGACTTGATTGACTCGATTGTCTTAAAAATTTTTAAAAATATATTTTTATAAGGTAATTTTTTAAAAACAAAATAACTTATGGATTAATTTAAAAGAAATATAAATGATAATAACCATTACAATTTATAAAATTTTTCAAAATGGGCTAATTATATTCATTTAAAATTTATAAATCAAGTACTATATACCATATATGATTATCTATAAAAAAAATTAAATGAATCATTTAAAATTTATTCCACAAAAAATAAGTCATTTTGTTGAAACTAATCAAATAGGAAGAAGTAAAATAATTAAAAAATAACCATATGTTATCTTCCACTGTTGTTGGCTTCTCTATATAAATTATTGGTGTATAATTTATATTTGCCTTCTAGTCATTTATATGACAAGTTTTGGAAAGTTAAGGTTCTTAGCTTTTTTCACCATGGTTTCAACAGTTTTAAGTGAGCAAAAATAGAGATATTTTAAAAAATTATCAATGGGAGGAGAACAAAATATTTGAGATGATTCAAGTAACGTCTTTTGTTTGGTTAGAAGATAGGCTTCAAGGTGATTTTCCTTTTGTGACTAATACCAATTCTCAATTTTGGGATAATTACTTTTGTTTGTTTAAGAAATGACTTCTCTTAAATTGCGTAATATTAATTATGGATCTATGCAAGTGTTGGAGGAGGATTGGTGTACTCCAAAAAATAATAATTTTTTTGAATAAAATAAAGGTAAATATGATAATTAATATTTGAAAGTATACTCATTTGATAATTTTTTGTTCAAATTGTGTAATATTAACTATGTAATATTAATGATTACACAATTAATAATTTAATTTTAATAAATTAATATTAAAAATAGGACTAATTATATATGAAAAAAAAAAGACAAAAAAAGAAATATTGAATTTACGAGTCAACCCGTAATCTATTAGGGTTTAGTTAGGATTACTATTTATTAACTTACAACTTATATATAACTTAACTTGTAAAACTCATGATCTAACTAAATTCAATTTGAATTCAACTTAACTTATTCATTAACTAACACTACTCCTTAAATAATCATAACAGCGCATACCTTATATCAATTTAATAAATTCCAAGAAAATCAATCTTTTTAATTGGAAGTCCCAAAACTTATATCCTACACTTATCCTCCAATATGACAATTATATGTATAAGTAGATCTAAACTTGGAAATTAAACCGGTGTGAATTGGGGTTGGGGGATGATTACAAACAAGGCCGCAGTTGAAGCTCGAACCCTTGACAAAAGCCATGGCTAATGGATGCACTAACATTACGGCTTGTGCCGCAAGTGCTTTGAATTGGTAATATTAATAATTTTTTTTTTTAATGTTCAGTGGTTCTTTATGGTATCGCTACGAATCAACTGTAGTGAAATTCTTTTTCAAACTTCTAGTCATATATAGATACTAACAAGTTTCACTTTCAATATAACAGTTCTTATATGAACCAAAAAGCACTCCTACGTCCATTGCCTATTTTCAAAAAAAAAGAAAAAAGCACCCCTACGTGGCGTTATGGTGAGAAGCGTTTGTGCATATCTTAAGACGGACAGAGTAATAGTTTTTAAACCATGTCAGGTAGGTGTAGAGAATTGTCAATTGCATATACTATTTATGCATCAAACTAACGCGTAAATATGATTTTTAATATCTGTGTGGTAGGAATCAGATAGCAACATCTTCCATAATATTATAATCTTAAGGTAACTAATTCATTAAAATTGGCTATGACTTTGATGTGTGATAATGAAAATAAAAATCCAGTAGGGTATATCCAAAGGAGGAGGTTGTGGAATGTAGGAATAATAAATTAATTAATGCATATTATTTTGCACAAAATCCATTATAATCTTAAGTGAGTTTATGCACAATTTTATTTACACCGACTTTTAAATAATGAAACATTAAATAAAAATTTGTTTATGAGATTATTTAAAAGCTTTGTTTGAAAATATTGTTCACAATATTTTTTTTTCATAATATTTTATTTAAAAATATAAATTTATTATTAAATAATTAATTTTAATTAATACTTTTTATATTTTTAATAATTTTAATTATTATTTTATATATTTTTATAATAAAAAAATAAAAACTTACATTTGACAATACAACACTTTTTCAAAGGAAGTGATATTTTGTTTTTTTGCCGACTCAGAGGTAACTTATTTCACAATTCATATTATACATTCTAATGTAGTTTGGATTACACTTTTATTTTTTATTTTTTTTTTGTGCAAGGGCACCGTCACTTTCATCAATCTTTAAATTCCAAGCGATCTTCCAAGTTCCAACTACAAACAAAAGTAAAATAAAATAAAATAAAAGTGGAATCCATTTTTCTCCAACTTGTCAATTTCAAAGGCAACTCCGCGTCTGATTTTTCCACTATTATTTTTCTTTAGAATGTTTTGTTGGTTTAAATAATATTAAGAGATTATGGCTTTGGTATGTGCTCTGACTTAGAAGTCTCCTCTAAAGACTTAAGAGAGGAAGTCTCTCCATCACTGGTAAATTTTATTATGATAACTGATTGGGTCTTTTTTTTTTTTTTTGTACTAACCTTTTGGTATCTAGTGACCACATTAGGTATCAACTAATTTAGAATTGAGTAGAGTCAGACCCCATTAGGGGGAAGCTCTCCTAATGCATGTTTCTCTACTCGCAAGAATCAAATTCGAGACCTTACTTAAGGGAAATTGAGCTCCTTTTCCTTGGATCAATATGTCATTGGTATTGACCATTTTCTCTTTCATTTGCAATAAAAGCACCTTCAACAGCACCTTCAGCTTCTTGCCTTATTGCTTTCCTTTGTTTTACAGCTTGAAGCACATTCACAAGTTCAGAAAGTGTCATTTGTGTCATGTCCTTTGAGTCCTCCAAAGAAGAAATTTTATGCGCAAATTTCTTTGATAAACTCACAAGACCCTTATCTACAATCTGTTAGAGTTGTGGTGTCAAAGCTGCAGCGTGGGAGCAAATTGAAAGACGTGAGAGCTGCAACATGACTGCACAGTAGCGGCAAATTGACAACAGCATGAAGCTGCACATGGGCTGCAAAATGGCAACAAATCTTTTGAATGTAATCTTGTTTTAAATGTTTGATAGATTTTCTTGGATTAGGTAAAATATTAGGTGAGAAGATATTATTTTTTATTGTGTTGTTTTTGCTATAAATATAGCAAAATATCAATGATATTTCTGAGTTGAAGTAATATGCTTCTTCTCCATTTTCATTTAGGCTCCTCCTGGTTTTCTCTCCTTTTTTAGTTGGGTTCTGCTCTTCATCTTCTTACTGATGTTCTCTCCATTTTTCTTTGTGAAAAACATGAACATGGTATCAAAGCCTTTCATGATCTTTGAGGGCTTGTATGAGAGTGATTTGAGAGAAATCTACCACCATAAAATCTGGCCAAACCCAAATAGTTTCCAACAAGTTTTTCTTTCAAAATATTTTTTTTTTCTGACCCAACACAGCAAACTCCTCTGACCAAAAATGCAACAAAGATGCTGTGATTATGAAGGTTAACTTTAGGTCCTTCAATCTTTGAAAGTGGTTGATAAAAGGATGAAACCAATTTGTTAAGGCAGGAGAGAGTATGTGAAGCTGTGAAGTTGAAGGTTAACTTAATGTCCTTCAATCTTCTTGAGGCAGAAGATCTGCAAGAAGCAAGATCAAAAAATGCTAGTTTGATGATGATTTATGTTGCTGGTATGGGTGGTGTTTTATGCTACAGCATTAGTCCAAAAAGGCAAGGATGGCTTGTGAAGGTGCAAATTGGGACCACGAGAGTACTCAACATTGCATCAAGTCATTTTCATGACCGAGTAGCCAAGTCTTTAGCCCAAGAAAGCTGTAGAA